AGGATTTTTGTATGTATTACGAAAAAAATCTTGCATACTTTTGAAATACCCTAGAATTTCGTGCAAATGATTCAAGATGCAAATTATATAATTAAACAAAATTTCGATTGTTTCTTCAGTGCAACCTATATTGTAATTTCCCACGATTTATTACCGCACGCTTTGTTAATAACAGTATTAACAGAACTAGGAATCTGATAAAACTACTGAAACTTGTCTACAATGCAAGTTGTGGAGAAATTATCCCACAATATAGCCGATGAGATGATTTACGTAATTGTTATTATCTGAGAGGTAATAATGTCCATCTGACCCTTGTTCACTTAACGATTTCATAAACGAGTCATTCTAATAACAGTGAAAATATAGAAGAATATTGAAAAAGGAATATTTTCTGGGAGAGATGAGTTTTTAAGAAAAAACATTTTCTTTTTTTCCACTTTTACGTCGTTATAAAATATTTAATGAATTACCATGCTGTTTTTGTGGTTTGAAAATAACAAAAGTAGTATAACTCTTAGCACAATAACTCACAAACTCATAAGTAGAATATCATGAAAGTTCAAGAGGATTCATTTGAATATTGAAACACAGAGAATATGTTTCAATGTATAAAAGAATCTACATATCAAGTTTGGTTTCGAGGGAAACATCAGATTTTACCGAAACTCCTTTCTCAATTGTACGTAAAATAGACAAAAAAAAAAAGAAACAAACCTTATGAACGCAAGACGCGATGTGATACGAGATTACCAAAACCTTTAGATGTTCATCTAACAAAATCATTGAAAAAAAGGATATACGACTGTTACAAAAGCAATGAGATTCCTAAAACTGAAATCATAAGGAAGAAATTGAATACTTCCGGCCATAACGGGAGCTGCTGTAACAAAACTCTTCAGAATTGGATAAAGAAACTAGGATTTCGATTTGAAATAATAAACAAACCGTCAAGCAGTTATGGAAAGCAGAAGAATAGTGGAATTGCGTAACAAATTCTTAGAACAAATAACTAAATATAGACAAGAACAACGACAAATTTTTTATTTGGCCGAAACTTGGTACGACACTCACGACACTGTTACGAAAGGATGGACTGATGGTTCGAGAATGTGTACGCCTAACATGCCAGCAAACTCAGGATCGCGAATAATCATTGTGCATTGCGGAGGAAGTGAAGGATGGGTTCCGAATTCTTTGAAATTATGTGGAAAAAAAACTCGAAGACTGCAATGTTGACTATCATAAGAACATGGAAGGTAATATTTCCAAAGAATGGTTTGAAAACACATTGATCCCAAATTTGGATGCGAATAGTGTAATAGTTCTTGACAACGCTTTCTATCATTCGCGACAGCTCATCAAACTACCGAATAAAAACTCAAGAAAAGATGAAATACAAAGTTTGTTAATGGATAACAATTTATATTTTGCAGATAACTATACCAAAAACCAACTACTTGAAGTTTTACAGACCAAAACATTTGGAAAAGTGTATGCCCTTGAGATTATTGCTGAAAAGTATGGACACACCATACTGAGGTTTCCCTCCTATTTTTGTGTTTTCGATCCCATCGAGTTATTTGGGGAAAAATTGCATCAGCATCAGGCGTAAATATAATTTTCCAAAATTTGATAAGAAGGTAATAGAGCTAGTTGAAGAAAAAGTATCTAATATTACCGAAGAAGACTGATTTCTGTCTGGTCCTGATTGGCGAAGGTTCAACCGGTGAGAAAGTTATCGAAGTGCTTGAAAATATGCTAGTCGGTTGGCTAGAGGTCTGGGGAGTATGGTGGACGAGGCAGAACTTCGACGATCAATTCAATTAGTTTACTTTGAACGCAGTCATACGAATTACGTTTATGAAAAACTATTTCGAAATGAAAACATTTTTGGTTTTCTATATAAAGAGTGGCAAACTTTCAAAGAATGATGGAAAAACAACAAGTCAAAGTTCTGATGAAAATTAGTGGATCATCCACAAATGAACCACTTGTCTCTACCTAACGCAAAACTTCTGTAAGATTCAAATCTGACCTATCTTGTATACGTCCATGAATTATATAAGAAATATTTTATTGCAATTCGTGAAAAATTTGCAACCCAAGTTGTAGTTATACGAGAAATAGTTAATTCAAATGTTTCTATTGATACTTTTAGATTTTTTTATATGTCACTGAAGGAGTGGAAACCATAAAACGGTTTATGAAAAATGAACTCATCACCAATAATATTTGTGTACGAGATGAATACAGTATTGACTACTTATATTTGTTGAACTGCTTAACTTACTAATGAGTTTAATAAATTTCACTGCGATAATTCATGGTCACCATAAAATGTAAACGGACAAATCCGTTTCACACAGCATTTTTTATTCAAATGATTCGACAACTAATTCCGAATTCTTCAAACCCGATACAATGAAATCCACTCACTGAATTGTCATTATTCTAATTATTCAGCAATTTATTCCTTCGGCAGACTTTCTCGAGAAAAAAAAAGAGTACTTTCAATTGTAACACTATTCCCATCGAATTTTTCTTCATTCGTCATCGAAGTCAGTATTAATGAAAAACAAAAGTAAGCAATGAAGAGAAATGAGACTAAAGAAATTCGTTCATATTATTTCGATTCGATTCGGTTAAACGAATCAAATTGAAAAACACCGTTCAATGCCAACGTATTGAATTGTTTAAATTTTTTTTTTCAAACTATTCAACAACTCTACCAATTCACGAGACATTTGATTTAATATTAATTTATGCAAATACGTTTTTTGGAACTATTTATTTGAATTTTATGTGAGTATTCGGAAGGCTGGGTAAAAATATTATTGTATAATGTCAAGTTGAAATATTGAAACTGATCATGATCAACCTACTTGAAAAAAGTTCATTATTTAAACATAATGTTTTCAGGTTTATAACTCAATATTCACAATAAAAAACCTATATTGACTCTTCCCTCCCATTTATATGATCCTAACAACATGAATGATTTTTTTATGGCTTCGCAATAACGGTGTAATAAGGTTGACCCAAATCTGGAACAATTTTACAGTAATAATGTGAATGATTCTATCACATCATTTCTTGAACTGACATTGATCACCGAAAATGAATTGTTAACCTTCATGTCACAAATCTCTAAGGTATCTCTGCGGCTTTTATCTGAACTTTTTGCTGAACAGGTTCCAACTTGGTGACAGAGTTGTGGTCACCTCGTTCAGTGTCGAAAACTATACCGAGTTCATCAGCTGCTCGGGCAGCTGCCCTAAGGAAAAATGCTCCAATTCCTGCTCTCTCATGGTCATGAACCATGCAGAGGAGGGGATCCGAACTCCTGACGACTTTACAGGCTGTATCCAGTACCATTCTGTCATGTAGACACTCCAAACTCAAAGTCCACGTACAACCGTGGAACGGACGATTTGGGATGCAAACTCCTAAAGAGATGCATCATTTTTCGGGTCTTTACGTCGAGTCCACTTCACTACTCCAAACGAGTAGAGTAAGATTGGAATGGCAAGCATATCGAGTGGTCCAACGAAAAGTATGCACCTTGCTTTCCTACTTTTTTTGTAACTTAACGCAAAAATGCTCGGACAGGTCAATTTTGCTTTTCAACATAATAGTTGTGCTAGACTTACTGCTCGCCTCTTTAATAACAGTCATCCCGGGAAAAATGTGAATGATTCGTACGTTGCCAAGTTAGTCCAAAATTTGTCGATACCGGATCTGTCTGTAATGTGAAACACCAGCCACGGAAACCGATCAGAAATGAAGCAGTGAAGCATTTTTGCGTTAAGTTATAAAAAAAGGAGAAAAGCAAGGTGCATACTTTTCGTTGGACCACTCTGTATTTGTTGCAGCAACTTTGTTCTTCCCCGACAGTTCCGATGACCAGATCTGTCGAAGTTTGTGCTGATACTTGCCGCGGAGAAAGTTTTTCACTGCTTCTACCTCTTGTGAGTGGCGTTGTTCCACACTGAGGTAAGTATACGTCTCTCCGGCATCCAGATGGTGTAGGATGCTTCCATCTTCGAGCTGCACATCCTCTCCGTAGTCCCAGCATTGTTCTCTTTTGAGATGGACCATTGCATATTTGTCTATCCCGAATTTCATACCGATAGCATGCGTGTACTCTTCCACAACCCTCAAGGATTGATGGAGATCCTTCTCTCCAGAGGCATACAGTTTAAGATCATCCATATAAAACAAATGGGTGACCTTGTGCCTCCGGTTTCCGAGGGTGCCACAGTTATACCCTCGAGTTTTTCTGAGCGCAACGGATAATGGCAATAGTGAGATGCAGAAGAGACTGAGGGAATCACCCTGAAATACATCCTTTCTGAAAGTCACCCACCCTGTTTGGACTCTTGCTTGCTATGTTTTCTCTGATAAAAATTCGATAATAAGACTCGTTTTGACAAACCTTTTACATGTAATTTCGTGATTAATTGAAAATGTCCTTATAGGACAAAACTGCAGTAACGTTAGTTACAAATAGAAGTGGTAAAAAACATAGAAAGTTCAATTTCTCTTTTCTTCATTATGATTTCCTACCACGTAGTAACGGCTACATCCATCCATTTATTTTATCGAATATTTATTATTACATCGTCATAGTACACTTTCCTTTTCAATTTTTTGATATTCTTCGAAATAACAATTCCATTCGAAAAAAACGAAAAACAGCATTATTGGTTTTCCCCGTACAACTCGAGAGGGGCGAGAGTCCCCGTAAATTTTCTTCGATCATTGTATTGTTGCCGATGACAGTTACTTTTTTTCCCATTTAATCGTCTTCGTATCTGTTACGGTTTAGAATTGCCACATGATGCAAAAAATGGCCTGTATAGCAGAAATAAGACAAGGCCCAAAATACAACCCTGTGGAACACCTATGTTGATATCTGCTAATGTAGAATTCGTAACCCTCAACTCATTGCGCTGTTCCAACACTAACAATCTTCCCTCTCTTTCAGATAACCATCGTAGGCGACTAAAGCCGCCGATGCCGACCTCGCGACCAGCAGTTCACGCCTAGCACCCGAAGCTACACGGAGTCGGCTCTTCTTCACGGCGAAGAAGACGTGCGAGCACCGTCGTGTGACCCGGAGACGAACCGGAGGACGCATCCAAGACGAGGAAGAAGAAAAAAGTGCACACTTATGACCTTTCGGTGTAATAATAGTCGTGATAGTGCAAAGTGGGATGGTGAATGTTAAAAACGCTGATTGGATTATGGTTAAGAGCTTCTTCTGTAGTTGATCGGTGAGTACCTCGTTATTAATTTTTTGATAATCTTCATATTTGAGGGTATAGCACGGCGTCTATGCCTGAAATTTGGGACAGTGTTACCAAGGATAGGTTTTGTGCCCTGTTTAATCAGCTGTTTGCGGTGACAGTTTCAAAACTTGACTGTCATCTGTTCTCATTTGAAGTGAATCGAGGATCAAGCGAAGAGCTTTGAAGCCCCCAAACAAATTTATAAATCATGTTTTTCAATGGACTCAATGGCGCGCGACTCGAAGTGTAGACTGTAGTGTAGACTGTAGTGTAGACTGTGCACATGGTTCAGTCGAGCACGCGCTTTAGTGCAGTTTAAATCTACAATCATGGAAGAAAATATGGCATCGTTTGATACCACCGTTTAATTTGTCTCTCTTTTATAGATGCTTTCATTAGAGGTGTTCAAGTGATTTGGCACAGTTGAGTCCACCAAGAGCCGTACATATCAGAATTATGGTCTTGTTAATAATTTTCTACAAGTTGAAGGTTTGAAAAATAATAGCATAAATAATTCATTGAGAAATTTGTTGTTTCCAATGCTGCAAATGGTTGGTTTTTTGATAAAGGCTACATTAATAGGCATTTTTTAAACTTTTCGTTCTATTTTTGTTATAGATAAATGCATGGTTTTTTTGGGAATCTGATAATCAATTAATGAATGAAAAAATAGACTTTATTTATAAACTGTTTACTATTTCTAGTAAATATAAACAAAACTGAAGTAGCATTTTTCAAAACCAGTGCTCTCTTGTATTTTGAAAATTGTCAATTTAAGAATAAAAATCGACCTGTTTCAGGTTTTTTTTACATAGTACATAATAACGCTAAAAATGAATTTATTCCATACATATGGACCGCACTGTATGTGTAAAATAAATGAAATACGGGCATACGTGTCAATATATGCAAACCCATATACCTGAGCATACTTATAAAAAAAATACAACGTACTCGCAATATTTGGAAATAAAAAAACACTGCATCAGAAACGTAACTGATCAGTGGCGTAGACTTCAACCTATGATGTGATGTGTGAACGTCACATTCTGGACAATGGCTAGGACAGATCTTTAGCAATATTACCTTATTAGTACTTTTGTACTAAATTAGATTCTCTCATTCATGAACACTCCAGTAACGGACAGTTTTGTTTATTTGCATGATTTACACGATTAAAAAAATATTCAAAGTAGTCGACAACTCGTCGAGAAGGATAACCACAAAAAATAGAACGTGAACATTCCAAAAACCAGTTTTATCATCTAGTTCGTGACATTTGCGTGTCTTAATAATGTTCTGTTACATATTTTTTTCGCACCTATATTTCGAAACAATCAAACTACGTCGATACATCAACCTACACGATCGAATCCTTTCTCATAGAAATATTTCAATAGACAACTATTGCGAAAGGAATTCGTTACGAAAAACCTGCTATAATTAATAAACACTTGCAACATTCGATTGTAAATGAGAGTTCTATATTCAGTTGATCAAAACACAGCGTCGGATGATCTATCGACAATAAATGTAATTCACCAAATCAGGATACGCCAGAAATTACTTAATATTAATTATAATGATATCCTTTACCTCATTTCGAACAATAAAAGTAGAAATCACATTAGGATCATTGTAGATCCTCACTGATTCATTATGTTTTGTAACATTTCGCTAGTGGTGTCCAATAAGCTATTTTCTGGTCTTTTTACCGTGATCTGCAGGTTTTTATACCTGACGTTTCGTCTACTACTGCGATAGAAATTCTGACATGTCAGTTGTAGGAATCTCATTGTTTTTGTAACAGTCGAATATTATTTTTATTAATGATTTTATTAGATGAACATCTAAAGGTTTTGGTAATCCTGTATCACATCGCGTTTTGCTTTGATAAGGTTTGTTTTTGACTATTTTAAGTAATTATAAATGCGCCAATATCGAATTTCAACACTCAAATCGGCATCAGTTGCTGAGCTGAACACGACGGCGATAACCATCCCCGCATTCACGATTTCTATTCGTCACCGTAACATGACTTCAAATTTAATTTTATGACACTTCAGCCAATTATAAATCTCGGTTAGTAAAAATTATTCAATACGAACCGCCAAGTACAGTCCACGTGGACTAGTTGTGAATGCTTCTCCGATTAGTCGTATGGTGTCCTTCATCGGAACCATCGTTTTGAAGACTCAGAACCATCGTGTTGAAGACTCGGAACCATCGTGTAGAAGACTCGGAACACTTCATCGAAAATATGTGAGGTTAGGTCCTAGAGACATACATTTGAGCTTCGATGTGGTCTCGTTATACATTGACACGGCATTCTTTGAAGTAAGTTCAGGAATATTCAAATGATATCAGAAGGCTCAGTTGAATCAAATGTCTCGTTTTTAGAAAACCCTCTTTCATGAAGGAAAACTATTTTCAAGAAGACTTTGGAGAACCGTACGGCATATCTTTATATCAATAAGAAAGAAAAAATGGTTTTGGGGAATTCTGTATAATCCATAAGAGAAGAACAATTGAACTATGACAATCCTCAATCTTTGAATACCCAACAAGTGATAAAAATCAACGCTTCTAATAGCCACCATTGAAAATCAAAGAAGAATAATGCAAATTTACAAATAACCATCAATCTAGAAGACCATAAATCTTACCAGAATAATTAACTGACACCATAAACGTAAAGATCTCGACAAGACCGTGGGTTAGACCATGTCACTGACTCCATGAGTTAATGTATGTACATAGCTTTCAGAAACGATTAGAACATACCATGGCTAGTTTGGACACAAAAGAGAAAAAAAAACCATTTGAAATTGTTCGACAAATGCTTCTCACCTTCGCAAGAGGAATCCTTATTCCATCTGCCGTTGCTTCCGCTTGCGTAAATCTTAATACGTTGTTTACAATTTCTCTGCTTTGTTAACTGAGAACTGAAAACAGTTTACTGTTCAAAGGTACTTTAGGAGACAGCAAATGACTCACAGTTGACCACACAGAATAATTTCTCCACTTACTGCATTAACACGAATTCACTACACGACTTCCTCGATGTTGATGAGGTCTCGCCCCACTCCACCAGCTGATACACTGCGCATCCAATATTCAGAGACACAGTAAAGATTTTCCAAGCTGTATGCTGTATAAGTCAGTCAATTTGCTCTTGAGTCTCTCTGATGCATTTAATGTTTTATTTTCAGCGTTAGTTGTTATGACAAATATTCGCGTAATTAATAAATTCATTGGAAGATCCAAGGTTGTTAGGGTTGGAATTGTAAGTCATATTGGCCGGAAGTCCAGACATGTTTTTTAGGGCTGACGAAAGACCAAAACTTAGTCGGATCTTCATTGTCTGGATAACGGCAGCGTGAGCAGTGTCTACGTTTGATTTGACTATGTAAGGTTTTATCCGTTTGAAATGTGACAAAGTTTCTAGTTTCCAGGCATTTTTTCTTAATAATTTCAGAAATAGTTCTCACCATGAATGATGTTTGCGAGATTTTTTGTTCGAAACAGAAACATGATCTGAAAAAACATTGTATAAAATTCAGAATAAGCATCTTCAACTTCATCAAATTCTTCAATAGGTGACCAATCTATATTTCGAATTCAGGAGATGATTTCGCATTTAGAAGATGCAGAAAAAATACTGAGCACAACAATGACATGCCGTATTTCTTCATCCGGCAAAAACAAACTAGAAAAACCATTCAAAAAAATTCCCATTGAGTAATTCTTCAGAAGTACTTGTGGCGAAACTGTGACAATTGTGAAACAGCATATATACTTAACACGTTATTAGCAGAAATGCTGATTTCTTCGGTATGTTCCATATCTTTAATTTTCACATAATTATATATTTTCCCACGGATGTTACAGTTTGGCGTTCCGCTGCAATTGCCGAACAATTTGAATTGTTATCCAATACGATTTGCAATATCGAATCCCAGATTATTACCTACTAAATGTAATAGTGTTAGAAAACTTCATGCTATTATTCTTTCTTGGTCAATTGATTTTATGAAGACGTAAAAGTTGATACTACAGTGATAGTAGTATAGATCATCTCCTGATGCCTCTTTAGAGCTCATTACTATTTGATATCATCAAGCGATCAATTTTTTGCTAATTTTCCTCTACAAATTCAAATTGAACCAAAGCGTTGTGATACCTAGTAAAAGCCATGTATGTTAATATACATCCTAACTTCGGAAACAGACAGATTTCTTTAAAGCCGGTTCTGTGTCTCATACAATGTAACATCATGGCAAGACCGAGAGACTGTTTGTATAAACAGAATTCATCGGCGCGTTTTAAAAAGACGCAAAGTCAGATATATTTGTCACATAGCTGAAAACTGCCCAGGATGTAGGTATAGGCCCATCAATATCCCAGCCTTGAAATCGTGAGTTTGGTCAGTTTAGCGAAATAGGTTTTTTGATGACCTCGGCCGCACGTGGACGACGGTTACGAGGGACGGTTAGAGAAACGAAAACCATTGATGCTGTGCTTGAACTGATATTGCACGTTCGTCATGTGAACTATCGTGAGATTGAGACAACCGTAATAACATCATGGCAAGACCGAGAGACTGTTTGTATAAACAGAATTCATCGGCGCGTTTTAAAAAGACGCAAAGTCAGATATATTTGTCACATAGCTAAAAACCGCCCAGGATGTAGGTATAGGCCCATCAATATTCTAGCCTTGAAATCGTGAGTTTGGTCAGTTTAGCGAAGTAGGTTTTTTGATGACCTCGGCCGCACGTGGACGACGGTTAAGAGGGACGGTTAGAGAAACGAAAACCATTGATGCTGTGCTTGAACTGATATTGCACGTTCGTCATGTGAACTATCGTGAGATTGAGACAACCGTAAGCATTAGTGGGACCAGCATACATGCAATATTGCATAAAAATTTGACTGTCAAAAAAATTTGTTCGAGTTGGATCCCACACAATTTGTCAATCGCTCAAAAAGAGGCTCGTGTCGATTGGTCGAAGGAAATGCTCAAAAAATACGATAGCGGTGCTTTTTGATTGGCAGCACTTGAACTGCTTTTTTTTTTAATTTGAATCACTGATAAAAGAGTCAGCTTTTACCAGCTGTACATCAGTTTCCGCCATTTTGGTTGTTTATTGTTGTCCCACCATGGGGACAAGCAACGGAATGTAGTCGTGTATTCATTAATCAATAGAGAATTATACGACTGATTTTCAATCTAGAATATCGAAAATCGTGTAGATCAATCTTTAAAGAAAATAAAATACTTTTTGTACTGGGAATTTATTTATTGAAAATATTAGTATACGTTCATAACAACATTAAAAACAT